TTATCTTAATTAGATCAAAAGTTATAAGCGAAAAACTTTTGACCTGTTTTTAGCGAAATTTTTACATTTATCCCCCCAAAACCCCCCTAAATATTGACCTAGAGCAACAAAATTTGCACAAAGGCGAGAATTTCAGGGGGCCCACCTACCTACCAAATTTGGTGTTTCTAGGTGCCATAGGAGCCAATCGCGAGGGGGGTCGCATCGACCCCCCCCCCCCCTGCCAGGCCGTGTTATGAAAAATGCCCTGCCAGGGCGAGGGTTAACCCTCGCGGGCCCGGGGGGGCGTTTATCGCCCCCCCCCTGGCGAATATTTGCGATAGCTCCCGAACGCTTAAGGATAGGAAGGCGAAACTTTCAGTACCTTTTCTCCCATCAATTTGACATCTTCTGAAGTAAAAAATTTGGACCTAGCCCCCTTGATGACGTCACAAGGTCCATTTTTCTAGACCCCTGCACGGCAAACTTCGGCGTCACAGACGCAAACTTCAAATAGCTGCTAAAAATAGAGTTTTAGAGATAAAGACAAATTATGAACACGGTTGTGTAGCGTTTGACCTAGAGAAAAATAAAAAAATAGTTTTGGTGACCTGAGGTCAGAGGTCAGGTCAACGACCCCGAAATGTGGTTTTAGTTTTTCGCAAATAACTTCGACAAAAATGGTCCTAGAGCTACGGCAGTGGTACCATCGCATTCGCCTTGTCAAGCCGCGTCGAATGATATATATTTTGTTCGGAAAAGGTCAAATTTTATGTTGACCTCATGTGACCTCGAATGACCTCTGGTTGACCTTGACACATGAAAGGTCGTTTATGATGGATTTGTACCCGCTGATCACGAATCTGGCATCTATTTTCCTCTAAGCCTTCATTTAGAGCTTCCGGATTGCAAAATTGTCTTATTTATTATTACTAACTTGAATCAGTGAAATAGCCTCTAGCAGGGATACTCTTCTGTGACCTTGACCTTTGAGCAGCCTTGTATCGTAAGATGAACCACAAATAGGGAACTGATAAGCCTCAAAACATTTCAAAACATCTTGGAAGTTAGCACGCAAGATATGCGAAAAAGTGCCAAGTTTGAGGTCAATTTTGAGCGTGACCTTGACCTTGACCTTTCACTTTGAGCACATTTTCAGAATCCTCAGATTCTCTTCTTTCGTTTGACAGCCAATTTTGCCGGTTTGATGCAGCCTGCCGTCCTCTAGAAGGCTTACTTTGAGATCACTACACATGTGGCGGTTTTTGCCTTTGACCTTGACCTCTGACCTTGAAAATTGACCTGAGGTCAAAAATTTTAGGTGCATTAGAATCGTCTCGTAAGGACCTTTCGTTTGGTATCGCTTTTGTTTCCGTAGCTCCCTTATTTACGGAGTTAGACAGGGGGGGCGAAAAACGCCCCCCCCCCCCGGGCTGCGGTGGTTGGGATTACCCCCCGGGCCCGGGCGGGTTAATAACCTCTTGCAAGCACCCGCTGAAAGCACACTTGCTTGCCTGCAGTTGCTTGGGTTTCAGGATTTGTTTTATTTGTACCAGCTTCAGGCACACATAGATGACGCCTCTGGTTCCCATCATGAATATCTTCTCTGCTGACATTTAGGGCATTCAGCTACGGAGGCGACACATTATGATAGGGGTTTTTACACCACGTTTTTTAATCTCCAGTGCAGAATATCTTATATCGAGTGTCCAATTACGTGCGCTGAGCCTTTGCGGACTCACCAGCGTCTCCTCATTGCTCTCAGATGACGCTAAGATCCCGCGTCATTTCACGCATCGCCGCCCACGTCATTACACCAGGAAAATTGGCATTCCTGGTAAGACCCGCCGTCGCTACATTCTCAAGAAGTGCATGCTTTTTTAGAGCATATGGATCAGAGCTGTGTGGCTAAATACGTCTTTTTAGTCTACAGGGCTCTCGGCGGGTTCTGTGCTGAATCGAATTCATCACAAAGCAATATTGGCTTGAAAAGCTTCGTCTGCTCGCTTTTGCTTCCACATTCAAACTCAGTAGGATTAGTTTGACATATTGGGCCAATGATGCGGACATTTGGCCGTTTTAGTCCACTTTCACAAAATCTGTTCCAATTTTTTCCTTTTCATATTGCTGTCGAGCTCTTATTGAATGATAGTTTCGCTGTCAGACTGGTTTCTGGAGTGGTTATAAGTCTGCACAGAAATGGCGCTTGGTGATATATTCTTAACCACCCTGTCGCGTTTTTTGCGTGTAATTAAAAAACGCGGCGTGTAGCGCCGCGCCGCTTGGAATAGCTGTTTGCACATCAATTTTGGGCAATGTGTGAACTTTTTGACTCCAGGTCACGTCAGGTGAGGTCACCAGGTCAAGTTAACTGACCAAGTCTAAAAAAAGTCTAAAAAGTCTTTGCATTATGTCCAGCCTGCAGTGTTTGTCAGAGAGGTTTTAAACTTGGTGGATTGCATGATGTTATAGGTGCCTACAAGTTGTATTTCTCGGATTTTTTATATGCGTGAACTAAGGTCAGGTCAGTGGCGTGACTTTTCCAATATAAGTCAAGGCAGAAAAACGAAAATGCCTCTAGATCCGTGTGTACGCATAGGAACAGTCCAAATATTTCAGAATCACAATGATATGGACCACCCGTGACGACCAAGGTATCTTTTCTGCTGATAGCCTCTAGAAAGGTCATCCGAGGTCATTTGAGGCTACAAACTGTTTTTTTTTGCCAATAACTCTCGATTGGAAAAAGATAGAACGCTGGGGTTGGCCTCATTGTCTTTGTCTTGCCGAGGCGCATAAACTGATATGCAACATGACCTTTTCCGGTCAGGTCATGACCTTGACCTGAGATCAAATTTTGAAGTTGACCTTTCAAGGTCAAATTATAGTTCATTCGACGCATCTCGGCGAGAGGAACACGATTCTGGCAATAAAAATGTCCTAGCTTTTTTTAACCCTATTAGTGGCAGGCTCCTGGCTACCCCTATTAGTGGCCTAGGGGGGCTGTTTACGACACCCCTTGATATCTCGAGATCTAACGGGCCGATTTTCAAAATTCAAACGGCATTCGATTTCGCTCAACGTGATCTACATTTCTAAAAAATAAAAATTAAAAAATGTCTATAGGGGGGGGGGGGTAGAGGGAGGTAAAAACGGGCAAATTGCAGATACATTTTAGACTGTTTATCACGGCCAGGTTTCTGAACCAATCTTAACGCAACTTTTGCCGATCGATAGAGAATGAACCAGGAATTCACAACGATCCTAAAAATATGCATTTTCAAAAATCATAGGCGGATACAGATAATTGAGATTGGGGGTACACAAAAAGTATAGTAAATAAGGTTTTTGTTGGTACTGTTTCTAAAAAGGGTGGCAATGGTCTTGTTATGATACAATTTTCTTATGAGAAAACGACTACAATTGTATTGGTCATGCATAGGCGGTATCAGGGCACCTATGTTGGGAGGTAAAACATAGCCCCCCTTTTTGGACGCCTGGATCCGCCTATTATAGCAAAAACGTGTCAAAAGAGGATGCACATTAACTTTGTATATGTTATCACATGATACCTTTCATTCAATGTTCGTAAAACTGGTGTATACAGTTATAATACATCAGCATCGTGATCTTCGCCCCAAATGACTCGCTTCACGAATAGGACCCCCCAATTCCTAGTGCTCTGGAGCCGCCCCTGGTAAAGGATATGAACTTGAAATTTTCAGGGAATGTGCCCAATTTAGTTTTAGGAAAAGTCAGAAAATTTCAGCATCGTAGCTTCAGCGGTTTCGGAGATATTCCCGAAAAACCTGAGGGGTGGATAAAAACAACCCCCCCCCCCCTGCCACCAATAGGGTTAAGTCAAAAGTTATTGTCGAAAAACACTTTTCGTAAAACAGTTTTGTTTTTGTTTTTGCCTTCTGGAGGCTAAACCGTTGACCTGAGGTCATTTTTGATGATGACCTTTTCAAAATAAAAGTTCAAAAACTATCGATTGCTTTCCCAGCGTTTTTCTATCTATCATAGTTCCTGAAAGAATGGCATGTTTTCTGAAAAATATAATGACAATTCGCAAATTTTGACCTTTGATGACCTCTGGTGACCCCAATACTGCTCTAAGATGAAAAATGACCGACATACTTTCAAACGTACGCATCGAGAGCTATCGACTGCCTTTTAAGCACGTCTGTCTGGCCCTTTTAGTTTTTGAGTTAGAGGTGGGTGGTAACATATGCCCCCCCCCCCCCCACTAGGGCGAAGTTGGCTGAGACCGCCACTGGGGCGCGGGTTAACAATCATACAATCACAATCATTGACTATTGATCTATAGACATTCATATATCCGAATCTGTCACCTTCTTTTTATGGTACTCTCAGTTGGGATATAACTTACCGTTTCTGACCATTGAAGTTCCTGTGATTATAGATGTTACAAATGTGTTCTCTTTTCTCCCACCTTTGGAGCGCATAATTCTCGCACTCATCCTTCCCAGAGAGGGTTTTCAGCCGCTTACGTTGGCGCTAAGCCGATGCGAATACCGCTTCAGCTCGGATTGTTTTGCGCGGGGACTCTCTCCAGCTGCTCCCGTTGGACCTCATTCTCGCTCTTTCTGGTGATCACGACGTCAGCAGCAGCTTCTGTCGGATTCGACTAGATCTTGCCTTCCCTGAATGAGTCCATCACGGCTCCTTTCATCGTCTCTCGCTCTATTTGTGGTTGCTGATTGTGCAGTGTCGTTTGAAGTTGTCGCTCAGCAAATATTCTGTTAGTGATTTATATTGTCGGCTGTTAGGGACCGGAAACGCACGCAGAACGTTCTTACAAGCTTACATAAAGACAGGTAGACCTCAACAGAAAGACAGACGGACCGACGGGCAGACTGACTGACCGACAGACTGACAAACAGCTTTTGAAGCTGGAAAGCACCCTTTGTCATACATCAATGTGTTTAACATTGAGGGGCGTGGTATATGCTGGCCGGCCTGGTCACGAAATAAAGCTATTTGTCTCTAACTGGCAGGCACTACCGTCACGAACTGAAGCTGGCGTGTCTTCTATGGAAAATCGATCTGAGAAGCGTGCAGCTGCTGGAAGCAAACAGCAATGACAACTTCGGAGGACAGCAATTCAAGGTGAGGCAAAGTTATCGAAATACCTTTTTCAGCAGCAACAGAGGAGCCGTGTTTTCCGGCTGCCTGCGCCCGATTGCTGTTTGTCGCATCACATAGAATATGTTGGCGAGATATTGTTTCAATCGTGCGAGCATCGTAAATTGAACTATATACAAAATATTTGATGTATATATCATAATCGCAAATATCGTATATGGCATATATCGTAAATATTGTATACTGAACTGTATATCCTAAAATGTTTGATGGAGCTACGTTGACTGTCTTTGATGTGAACGATATCGTACCCCAGCCGGCGACAGGGTGCATTCACCAGCGCGCTGGAAATGATGCCAGAGAGGAGGCGCGCTCAGGAACTGATGCTACCTATTGCAGGGTAGGTGAGACCGAGGATCTGCTTAGGGTGCTATGTAACTAATTATCCTAAACTGTGAGGCGTGAGCCATTTTACATGATTATCAAACTTTTTTCCTGATGACGCCGAACGTTTATTAGTTCATAATAAAAATTTAATTTTTATATGTTTTATACTTTATTGTGTGAATAGAATTGGACTGTTTTTTTTTTAATCAGTGTATAATAAAAACATTTTACTTGTTCAAAGCCGTGCAGGGCTGATCTTTTCGTTTGTGAAGTCCTAAATATTGTTATAGCGTATTTTGGAATATATCTATTCCATTGATTCGACCATAACTGGCCAATTGATTTAATCGATCATAACATAAGCCATGTTGTAATATTTTAACACGCCGACGCCACGTTGTCGTAAAGATTCCTTTATCACCTGTATTGTAGCACTTTTCTTCGTTTTTTTTTCACAGATTGGCATATACAAAGGAACTATTGTAGCTGTCAAGTTCATCAACAAGAAAAGTGTTGATCTGACCAGGAGCATTAGGAAAGAGCTCAAGTTGGTAAGGTCACGTCACATGATGTCAGACAGAGTCATCAAAAAGGATGGGACCTTCACTTGTATATCTTATGAATATCCCATTTATCGTGACGTTCAGTAAGATCTATTCAAATCAATTATTGGAACCGGTTTGATTTGAGAAAGCGCTACAGGAAACGTTGTGAACAACACATTTTCGGCATCGGCTTTTTGAATTTACAAAGTCGTAAAGAATGAGATGAGACGGAAACCTTACGTACACATATCCCTGATCTTTCATTGTAGCTTTAGCTTTAGAAGCCAGTCACATCTTCAGGCTAGGCCAGATCACAACTTATGAGTGACGTCATGTGTGACCCTCAGCAGTATGCACGGTTCACAAATGGCGCGGCTTCGCAACACTCTCAATTTCAATGATTCTCTCAAAGACAATGTAACTTTGAGATATCAATAAACTTCATCCCATATGTAAATACAATTTGTTCATCAATCTCGGCTTCTCACAACTTGAATCTGAGGCCAAGTCGGTTACCTGGCCCTCATTACGAGGTCGAGTCCTCGCCTTCTTCCCGGCCCACAGGCCCACATTGTGACTGTGGAACCAAGCATCATAGTGATCGAGTTAACCAGTACCAGAGTCTTTGTAAGCATCTCGAAACGGCATGGTTGTTTCCTTGCAAAGTAGCTTGCAGTTCTACAGTCGTGTTTTAACCCTCACCGGACCTATTGGTTTTCTACATACGCGCCGGCCGAGGGGGGGGGGGCGGGTACCACCCCCCCCTCGCCGTTTCGCCCCTGGTGGAGCTAGCGCGTCGCGGAAAAAAAACGAGCGTGTGCGCCGTTACGAGACGCAGAGATCGGTACCCGATTTTAAGGTCCTAGGTCAACCGGTGAGCTCTGAGGTCAGGTCAAGTGCCCCAAGGTACGGTTCAGTTTTTGGTGAATAACTTCGCAAAAAAACGGCCGCAGAGCGCCGATTTTGGCAGCATCGTGTTCGCCTTACTCAGGCGCGTCGAATGATGTACTTTTTGTCCGGGTCAGGTCAACTTGAGGTGTTGACCTCAGGTCAAGGTCAGGTCAGCACCCCCAGGTCACGAAGCTGGTCGAAAGAGGTCATGTCGCATATCATTCGATTCGGCAGGCCTTCCTGAGTCCATTGGTGGCTTTCCCGACTCGCTTGCTCAATTTGATCAAGAGTTATTGACGAAAAACTAATATGACCTTGATGACGTCATAAATGACGTCACGCAAGGTCAACATTGCAAAAGTGACGCATCTAACCTTGCAAGGAGTGCATCAAATCACGATTCTGTGTGCTTGAGATAGTTGGAGATCGTTCCCGACGCCAGAATAGCAGTTTTCATTTTTCCCCATTGACTTATAATGGTGAGGTCACGAAAATGGCCTGATCTCATATGACCTTTAGGAAAAATCCGAGATATACAACTTGTGGGACTCATAATGGATACTAGATCCTGCAAGTTTCATTTCACTGTGACATCTCCTCTGGCAGTGAGGGCGTTGCGAAGTTGCGACATCTGAAGACCGTGCAGAGGTTCACTTATGACGTCATAGGTCAGTGACCTGACCTGACCCAAAAATGCGGTTGGTGTCAAAAGATCCGGCTTGGATCACAGGTCAGGTATGCCAAGTTTCAGCTCTCTATCGCCAGCGTGTTCGGAGCTATCGCGAAAAAAAAACATATGGGGGGCGGCCCCCTCGGCCGGCAAGGGTTAACTTCGCTCGTGGCCACCTTTTGGTGCTTTAGGCGGAAAAGTCCGATTTGAAACAGTTCCCCTGGCGTGTACCTACAACTGCGCGCGCTGGGAATTGTCCCTCGTAAATCGACCTCTACGCAGCGACTGTTTTCGAGTTGGGTCCTTGTTTTGATGAGGTCACCCGTCCCTATACGACCCAGGGGAGAGAACAAAGACGCATCAGCAAACAACGAGACCCAGGGGCACACCACATCACTGGAAATGAAACAGGCTGTGAAACGGATATGCTAGACTAAACCAGATCTTACATGAGGATTGAATGTGTATTGATAATCACATTGAACCGCGAAGTACCTTATACGCGCAAAAAATTGATGCCTTACACTTGAGATGAAATGATAGAGCCGCAGTTATTATTTCAAAACAATTTATTTGTTGTTTTTTATTGTGGTACATTTATAAAAGCAATTATTTGTTGTGAAAATAGGGAACAGCCATAACCACGCCGGCGTAACAGTCAAATATCGTAACTGCGCAATGCATATTACTTGTTTATTTAGCAACTGCTTTTAGCAAATTCCTTTAAGGTCTATGCACATATGCATAACACATGCACATAAAACTATTTTAATCAAAATAAGATTGAAATTATAAGATATATTCTTGAGCTATCCTTGCAATAAACTGAACAGATATGTAGGACATGTGGGATCGGCAATCAAAACCGTTTTTTTTTTCAATTGCCGGACATCGGTAAAACGGGAAGGCAGCTGCCTCGCCAGTCGGCAGTCTGTCTCACGTCTGTCGATAGCTTGATTCGAAGGCTTCAGCGGCAGAATTGGTTCAAATCCAGTGTAAATCCCGTTTGGCACGACGCTGAACGAATCATTTTCCACTAGAGCAGTTCGTCTGTCATTTGCGGGACCGATAGCTAAGGGGAACTCGTATTTGACTCCTCAGTCATCATCAATCGTACTTGTCTTCCTGAACTATCTCCAATATATGAAATTTTCACTCGAATTTAGTTAAGCTTGTGAACCTTAATTTACAAAGTAAATAAATAAATACATAAATAAATGGACCCAAGCAGATAACGAAGCCGGCGTTTTCTGATCAGATTCCTCGTGAACTCGCACCCGTTTTGAAATCTGTAGACCCAGGGAGCTCCGATGTCCAAACATACCGCTGATAGGACATCAGGAATATTGCCAAAGTTGGCGGCGAGGTTAGTTATAAACTGCCGCGGGGATGATAAGCGTCCCAAACTATGACTCGATTCCGAGGCCTTGTCAGCGCAGAGCGGACATCTTGTCATTAGTTCTCCGACACTGAAGGTCATAGCAGTGACGTCTTATGTCGTGCAGTCGTTCAACGGCAGGGCGCGCGGGCTGTGCGAATTCATATGAAGAGCTAAATGGATGCGCGAGCCGCCTCGATTTGATAGATTAGATCTTGACTTATATCTAGTATGGAGGATTTAACCCGCGCGGGGCTGGGGGGGGGGGGTAAATTTTACCCTCCCTCGCGAATTTTTGCAATATCTCAAAAACGCCGGCGCGCAGCGCCGCCAAACTTTTAGTACCTTTTCTTACATCAATTTGACACGTTCCCTGAAAATTTGAGCGAAATCCGTCGGAAAATTTTTGAGAAATTGAGGTTTTAGTGACGTCATGTTCGCCATTTTCGCCTCAAAAACGGCAAAAGTTCAAACGCCGCTAACATCTTCATTTTTAAAGGAATCAAGACGTAACAAAAAAGGATATACGTAATTCTACTTTGTCTATCAAATGGCTATCTCGGTTTTTTGAAAATTTTGAATTTTGGCCTAATTTTTTTCTTCAAAAAACTGACTTTTTTGGGAAAATAGCTATAAAATCCAAAATTTTGAGTGTATCGAAAAAAAACGGAATATATGTCAGAGAAGTGGTCTATGTGCACCTACATACCAAGTTTTAGAAGAATTGGTTCAAAAATGTGGGAGTTATTCAAAATTTTATGACGTCACGACACACAATTTTTTTGAAAAATGACTTTTTTTAGAAGTTCTAGACCTCGTACGGAAACAAAAATAGCACCATTCGATTCGCCGTGAAAAACTGCATCAGATAGACACCTTTTTAGGCCTTAACAACCAACTTCAAAATTTGACCTCACTTGACCTGACCTTGACCTGACCTCGACCTGAAATTCATCCAGAGGTGGTCCATATCACTTATTGAGTGTGCCTATTGAATTCTATGAGTAAAATGACCCATAAAACATGTGTCGCACATGCCCTTTTCTATATTTTGTTTTTGGTGACCTGACCTGACCTGACCTGACCTTGACCTTGACCTCTGAATGATATTGTATGCAACGAATATTGTCTTGGTAGCCTAAGAACACGTTTTGGGTGATCAGTCTCAATCCATGACTCCATTCTTCGGCAACTACGGTGCAAGGCCGATAGTGTAGGAACTTGCAATTTGTACCCTTGACCTGACCTTGACCTTGACTTCAAACTTAAAATTAAGTACATGTTTTTAGTTGTTCGTGATGAGATCTTTCGATTGGCGTTTGAATGTTCCAAATCGGACTATTAGTTCGGGAGATAACAGGGGGGTAAAATTTACCCCCCCCCCAGCCCCGCGCGTTCGGCTGGAGGCCCCAGCCCCGCGCGGGTTAATGGAGGCGGAATGCTGCCTGAATAAGCAGCAAACTTGCGAAAGAAGAATAATTAAAATTGTTCCATTTGTGAATTAATGTTCTAAGGTTTTCTCGTCCTTTTGTATTCCCAAATTGTATTCAATCCCTGTGAAACGGCGATTACATATTTATATGGTTTATAATACACTTGCGTCACTCATTACCAGATATGAGCATCCTCTCATATCATTCTACCACTGTTGACGTCACTTAGTGCCCCCCTGATGACGTCACTGGTGGACAGATTCGCGAGCTGCGCCACGACAACCTGCTGCCGTTCCTGGGCGCCTCGGTGGAGCCGGGCCAGGTGTGTGTTCTGGAGCCGTACTGCGCGCGTGGTTCGCTCCGGGACATCCTCAACAACCATGACGTCGTGCTGGACAACATGTTCGTCGCCTCGCTCATCTTTGATCTGCTCAAGGTGAGCCTAAACGTGGTCGAGAAGCTCGTATGTGAAGCATCTGGAGAATTAGTGGCATTGGTGCAGATTTACCTTAATTCATTTGCTTCACTTGAAAAATCATTGTCGAGCTATCCAGAATGCAATCCACATACGGCAATTGCTTTTTTATATCACAGACAATAACGTACCCACAATTCCTGTAAAAGTAATCCAGACGTTACGGACAACAAACAAGCTTCGAACCTTCGTCAGTGGATAACAATGAATATGTATTAACTATTATCGATGTAAAAGATCTTATCTTATTAGATATTATTGATGTGAAAGATATATTTATCATATGTACGCGCGGTTCGATACGATAAAATCAACAGTCTCCAAGATTTAAAACAATAGGAAAAACTTCCTTGACTTTTATTCGAGTCGCTCTATCGCAAGCATTGTGACGTTATTACGAGCGAGCGAGCGCAGCGAGCGAAGCGAGTCTTTTCAATAAAACGGAAAAATCTCAGTATGAGCGGCCCGGCCCGGCCCGGCCCGGCCCGGCCCGGCCTGTAACGCTTTTGAGAGGCTTATATCTCAGCAACCGCTGGACCGATTGGCCTGCGGTCTTTTTTGCTGGGTAGCCCCATCCCTTCTACCCCGTAATTGACTACTTTTGATACATCTCAGTGACCGTCGTGGCACGTGCCACGTGAAAAGTCAAGGGTGTTCAAGCAGTTTCGCAAAAGTAGTGATTTTGAGAGGCCCATATCTCAGCAGCGGCTTGAGCGATTGTCTTGCGGTACTTTTTATAGGGTAGCTGCATCCCTTCTACCAAAGGTCGGATACTCTTGATCTATGTGAGTGACCCCCACTGCACGTGCAAAATACAACAATAAGAGGTGTCAACTTTGTTCCCATTTTAATAACTCGGTAATTACTGGGGCGATTTCGCTGAAACTTGGCATACCTACAGGTAGGCACCCACCAGGCAATGCATTCCCATGTGTTGCGGATAGGGTGCTACTGCACGTGCGCAAGTGCAGGGGGCGTTTCCAGATCTTGAGAACGGCTGGGCCGATTGCGCTCAAGTTTGGTACACGGTTGGGGACCGGTTAGTAGGGTGCCGTGCAAAAGTCAATCTGGACCCCGTTTGCACGTGCGCACGTGCAGAATGCCGCTTCCAGATCTCAGGAACGGCTGGGCCGATTGCGTTCAAATTTGGCACACCGCTAGCGACCGGTTAGAAGGGTGCTTTGCACATGCCCGTTGCAAGTACCCTCTCGCCCTTCCGCACGTGCAGGGCTCACTATCTCGCTCGCTCGTTCTTCGCCTAAAAGGCGTTTTACTGGTTACGAGCGAGCGAGCGCAGCGAGCGAAGTGAGTCTTTTCAATATAACGGGAAAATCTCAGTATGAGCGGCCTGGCCCGGCCCGGCCCGGCCCGGCCTGTAACGCTTTTGAGAGGCTTATATCTCAGCAACCGCTGGACCGATTGGCCTGCGGTCTTTTTTGTTGGGTAGCCGCATCCCTTCTACCCCGTAATTGACTACTTTTGATACATCTCAGTGACCGTCGTGGCACGTGCCACGTGAAAAGTCAAGGGTGTTCAAGCTGTTTTGCAAAAGTAGTGATTTTGAGAGGCTCATATCTCAGCAGCCGCTTGGGCGATTGGCTTGTGGTAATTTTTGTAGGGTAGCAGCATCCCTTCTACCAAAAATAGGATACTCTCGATGCATGTGGGTCACCCCCAGTGCACGTGCAAAATGTAACAATAAGAGGTGTCAAATTTGTTCCCATTTTAATAACTCGGTAATTACTGGGGCGATTTCGCTGAAACTTGGCATACAGGTAGGCACCCACCAGACAATGCATTCCCATGTGTTGCGGTTAAGGTGCTACTGCACGTGCGCACGTGCAGGGGCGCTTCCAGATCTCGAGAACGGCTGGGCCGATTGCGCTCAAATTTGGTACACGGTTGGGGACCAGTTAGTAGGGTGCCGTCCAAAAGTCAGTTTGGACCCCGTTTGCACGTGCGCACGTGCAGAATGCCGCTTCCAGATCTCAGGAACGGCTGGGCCGATTGCGTTCAAATTTGGTACACCGCTAGCGACCGGTTAGAAGGGTGCTTTGCGCAAGCCCGTTGGAAGTACCCTCTCGCCCTTTCGCACGTGCAGGGCTCACTATCTCGCTCGCTCGTTCTTCGCCCAAAAGGCGTTTTACTGGTTGTATAGCATCAAACATTGAACAGAATGCGTTGTGCAATATTTGGAAATCCTAAACACGGATGTAACATTCGGACATCTAGGAAATTTCAATACCACGCTTTTCCGTGTTACAGGGAATGATCTACCTGCACGACAGTGAGATCATATCTCACGGCGGTTACGATCGTCCAT